AAAAAAAATTATAGCTGAATGGCATTCTCTTAAATTTTACATCTTTTAAATGGCCACACACAATTTATATAACAAAATTTTAAAGCCTTATCTATAAAATAAAATTCAATGATAGTGCTACCAATGAAATAAACAGTATGATCATACTTCAGAAACCACAAAAATCAAACAATTTTAATGGAGTATTAGTTGTACTATTAGTCTTCAAGGATGACTAGACTTCTATCATCCAACAAAGGTAAAAAAAAAACTCATGTTTCTTCAAAATAGAAAAATTTTTAATATCTCTTTAATAAACTAGAGTAAATTAACATTTTTCTGTGAGGATACCACACAGTATCTTTATCCCTCAACAGCATAAAGCATTAATTATTATTAAATATAATAGTTACTAAATATCATTATGCACTGCCAACCACTATAAATTATAACTAATAATTAGTTGAATACTGTTGATTATCATTTTTGTTATGCTAATTAGTGATAATTAACCATTATTCAGGATGGTAATGATCTCTGACATTTATGTGGTATTTTACCGTTTACAACATATAATATTAACATGCAATTTTCTTTTAATTTTTCAAAACCTTTGTGGTACATGTAAATTTATACTCATTTTTAATATAAGGAAAAATAATTATGTGAGAAACAAAAAATTAATTGTCATCAGATGGAACTGACTTATTCATAGCTGACCAGCTGGTGGGTTATCTGAGGCTGTAAATCACTTGGAAGGAGATTGCCCATCTTTCTCCCAAGGGGCTGCTGGTGGGTTTGAACCCCTGGATAGTCAACATTGGATTAGCAGCTCATTTCCTTAACAACTACACTGAGTTGTGCAATGATGTTAGAGTAGCAGAAAATGAAAGTTACTCCTAAAACTTTGCTATACACCTTAGAAAGTATTTACAGTTCCCTTCTACTGTACATAGAATTCCTTAGCCTCTTACCAAAAAAATAAAGGCCCAAGCTCATCCTGAGGTGTCTTGGATAAAAGGCCTGGAAATCTACTTTCCAAAAACTCAGCTGTGGAGAACCTGTGGGGCATCTTGTGGTGTATTCTGGCACACATGGCATTGCCATGAGTTGGAAACAACTTGATGATAATGAGTTGTTTATACTGTAGAAGCATATTCACTCCACTTGAAAATGTTTCATAGACTTCACAAGTAGATCTAGATGTGTGGAGGAAGGCAGGTTTATGCATTTACTTCTCACTTATCAACTATCATGTTATTCTACATTTTATATGTATAAGAGGAACATCTCTACCGTCCTATTATTTTGTACTCTAAGGCATGTCTAGCAGTAACAAATGCTGCCCTGGCTGTGATGATTAATTGTCAGTATGGCAAGGCCATGATTCTCAGCAGCTTCTCAATTATATAATGATGTATCTATCCTTTATTTTGTGATCTGATATAGTCATCCTCTGTTTTCATGTAATATCAATTTTTATATAATGACCTGGTCTTTGGAAACTAACTATACCAATAAGTGAGAAGTGAGTATATAATATATATTTAAATTAGCCCATAACTTTAGTTAGTCCTTTTGTTATTAGGTTTTTATATCCTCTCTGGAAATATATCAATTGATGTCCTTATCATTCTGGGGCATGCTCTAAGATGTTCATTTGCACATTTGCACAGTAGAGAGCTTGACACTTATCATCTGCAAAATCCTATCTCTAGTGCTTTCCCTTGTCCCATCCCTCATGTTCTGAATGCACATATAGGTCTCTTACCTTTCTGGAGGGAATAGTGAACCTCAGCATTGGCTCCCCGGTCGTCGTCCATGGCTCGGACCTGTAGCAGATCAGTGCCAGGAGCTACGCTGTCAGGGACACTTGCCTCATACTGGAGCTGAGTGAAGCGGGGTGGGTGGAGGTTTTCATCCTCCACATGGATGGTCACCCATACAAAGTTTCTCTTGATTGGCATCTCCTGATCTCGGACCTATGGGCCCAAAGGGGATTGAAGTGAGCCTTAGATGGTAAGGAAGGAGGCAGGATTACCTTAAGGTCAACGAAACAGAATGGCAGGAAAAATATACCTAATTGTAACTTGCGGTATTCCCTTAAATATTGCTTGATTTAGGCTCTATTTCTTTTTCATAATAAATTTAGCAATTAGTAACTATTCAACTTAGCTTTTAATGGATAATTCCACTTTAGCAGGGGCGGGAAGCAAGGAAGCATGCTTAATTCTCTAATTCCCAAATTAAATCTCCAAAAATATTAATTCTTAAGATGTTAGCATGTTATGTGGGAAAAAATATTCAAAGGTGCCATGAATTGACTTGTGTGCCTCTCACTAAACATATATTGAAATCTTGGCCCTTGACTCAATTTGCAAGTAGCGTTTTCTCTTATGTGTTAGTGAGATGATATCAGAGTAGGCTGAGTCCCAAATCTAAGCCCTCCTGAGTTATAAGAAGAGCAGCACAGACGCAGAGACACACAAGTGTGACAGATGCTGAGGAACACCAAGGAACTCCTAGGGCTCCCAAAAGAAAGGATTTTCCACCACAGCCATGGCCTGAATTCAGACTTCTAGCATCCCAAACTGTGTGGAAAAAAATTCTGCCCTTTAGAGCTGCCCACTTTTAGCATTTTTTATTGTTGTTGTTGTTGTTGTTGTTGTTACAATAGTATTAGGAAAGGAAGATATTTGACCAAACCAAGCACAATCAATAAGAGTGCATCTAAATTCCAAAATCAGTCTCCATAATAGTCTATGTGTTTCCTACTGCCAAAGGGGCCCTTTAGAGTAGTGAGAGAAGATCTTCACCCTGAAACCCACAGCGTCCCTTCTCAGCAGGAAGTAGCTAAGAGAATATGCCGTCCCCTTTTCCTTATGACTCAGGGTGAAGTCTCTCTCAGGGAGGAGTGATAGGGAATGGCAAAGGACACACTGACAAAGAAGATTAATCAGAACTGGCTTTGACAAGCACTGTGGCATTTGGACAAGAACAAACTGGGAGGAGGGTAGAGAGAATGGTGCAGCGGTGAATGAATGGAAACCCAAAATCTTTGTAAATGTTTATGAAAATTAATAAAATATAATTATAGGAAAAAAAGATATTTGACCAAAGAAACTTGAAGAACACAGAGTTAAATTTATTTCCTCTGGTAACAAAATTCCACTGATTTAAATTTAATATGTTACATAAATTATAGTTGATATACTAATGTGCCTAGAAGAGAGTAAACAAACCCTAAACCTGGAGGCAGATAGGTTGCATTCTGACTCTGGCTCTTTCCTAAATAGAACATGAACAGGAACCACTTTCTTTTCTGTGCGCCTCTGGTAAATCAGGGCTGGAACTAGAATAAGGCAGGCAAGGTGCATGGACGCATAATTTAAGGAGGCACTCACAAAGTCTATACCTGCACTGTCCTCAGAATGAGAGTCTCCTGAAAATGTTATATCCTACAAGGCTCTCTTGTCTTCCTCGGGGTGGAATGGTCTCTGGACCTCTTCCAGCTCTGACATTCCATAAATCCACAATTGTGGTCACAAAATCATGATGTAAGGAGAGAGTTGTTGGAAGATATTTGGGATGATTCCAGAAAAAGCAAAGGATTATAGGAATTTCCTTGGCAGACACCCTGTCTCTATCTTCACTCCCAGGCATTCTTCATAGATAGTAGCTCTAGCAAGTGCTAAAAGGTTACAGCTCTAGCTCACAGATTATTATAAGCATTGGTAAACCTGACTTATCAGGTGAGCAGGAATCTTCAGCATGCTTTCAACTCTGCCCACCCCCATGCACCTGCAGATAAGCACAACCTCACTGATTCTGCAGTTTACTCACCATAACTGTCAGTGTGTGCTGGGAAGGCCCTGTGCCCAGGCCCAGTTTCCCCACTGTCACCAAGATACCACTGCTAGGGTCCAACTGGAAGAGGCTGGCACTTCCTGGGTCTTGGCTGCCATGTATTGTGTAGATGAGACCTTTGCCCTTGTCTTGATCAGTGGCCTGGACTCGGAGAAGCTCGACCCCAGGCAGGGTGCCCTGGGGAACTTTAACTTCATAATGAGACTCCAGAAACTGAGGGCGATGGTGGTTGACATTGGCTACCATAAAAACATAGACCTAAGGAGGACGGCGAGAAAGAATGAAGACAGTAAACTTCAAAGAAGAGGAACCTGACTGGCTGGATCTTCACTCACTGTATCCTCAGTGCCTGGCACACAGCAAGCACTCAATGAATGTTTATTGAATGAATAATGGAATTTTCCAAACCCCAAGGCTTGAGGATGCTAAGATGCTTTATAGTCTAATATAGATTTTTAAATTATCTACTATATATATTTTTCATTATCTAAAATATATATTTAATAATTTAATATATGTTTAGTAATCTAATATTACTAAAGTACTGAAGAGCAAGTTGTCTCTCTGGAGATTAAGGTGCATCTGATACAGGCCATGGTCTTTGCTATCACTTGTTATGCATCAGAGAGTTGGACAGTGACTAAGGAGGACAGAAGGAGAATTGATGCCTTTGAGCTGTGGTGCTGGAGAAGGGTATTGAGGATACCATGGACTGCTAGGAAAACAAACAGATTCATCCTGGAAAGGGTTAAACCGGGCAGCTCCCTGGAGGCAAGGATTCTGAGGCTCTGTCTCACATACTTTGGACATGTAAGGAGGGACCGGTCCTTGGAGAGGGACATCATGCTTGGTAGGGTGGAGGGACAGCATAGGAGGGGAAGGCCCTCTATGAGGTGGATTGATTCAGTGACTGGGGTAATTGGGATGGGAGTGTCAGAGACAGTGAGATTGGCACAGGAGAGAGCAGAGTTAAGGGCTGTTGTACATAGGGTAGCTATAAGTCGCAAGGGACTCGACAGCACGTAACAACAACAACAATCTAATATATAATATATTTACTTATCTATAACAAAGAGCCTTTACATCAAATTAAATATACAAAATCTTAGTACAGGAAACAAACAAAGCTTTGTCTGAGATTGGAAAAGAAATCCAGAACCCCATTTAGTCATCATTTTTCATAACTCTGGTAACTCTAGTGATGTAATTTGATGGGTGGAGAGAAGGGTAGCTAAAGTAAAGGGGAAAGAATTGGTGTGAAAAACAATGTACAATGAACTTTATAAGTAAACCAGTATAAAATAAAACTCTTATTAAAAAAAAACCAAACAACAAAATGATCTTTCATTTAGGCAAAAGTTCTTATTTAAAGAAAGATCTAGAATGGGAACAAGAATTCTCTCACATCTACATAAGTATAGCGTGACTCAAACCCATATGATTCCACATTTGGTGTTCTTGAGGGAGAGCTCTCATAGCCTAGTGGTAAGAAGTTGCACTGTAATTCCAAAGGCATGCTGTTCAAACCCACCAGTTGTTCCATGGGAGAAGGATGAACAATCTTCTCCCATGTGATTTACCTACTTGGAAAACTCACTGGAGGGACAACTATGGGTCATTTCCAACTCAGCAGCACACAGCAACAACAACAATAACATCCCTAAAAGTCCTCTCCTTTCATCGTAGGGATCCTCAACTGAGGCCTCTCACCTGTGTGGCAATGACATGGGATCCATCTGTCACCTCCACAGTCAAGTTGTAGCTTGCCCTCCTCCTTGTATCAAGGGGCCTGGCTATGACAATGCTGCCTGTCGTCTTCTCAATGTCAAAGTCCATGTCCTTATCACCACCTGGCATAGGAGAGGAGCACACAGAATCTCAATGACTAAGATATAAACAGGCCAGTACGGGATTTGTCCATCAGATTTAGAAGTGTGGTAGTTTCCAACTCTGACTTGAGAGGATTGTAGGCATTTAAAGAAGAACCTGAATCACTGAATCAGAGATTCTAAATTGTTCACACACAGTATAATACCTGGATGATAAGTTGTAATTTCTACCCCAGGAATCAAAAAAGCTGCAATTTTTCTATCACATTCTTGTCAAGATTCAAATGATGCTAGAGAACAAGGAAGACATTTAAGGATTGAACTTCCTCAACAGAAGACCAAAATTTATTTCAGAACTCACTGTTACTGAGAATGAAATTTACAGTGTAATGGTTTACTTGCAGTTTTCATAGTCTAAAGAGCTATATATTACAGTATAAAATCCAGGATAGAGTTGGAGAAAATGTGAAACAAAACTCAAAAACATGAAAAAAGGCTGAGATTATTGGTCCAAGAGAGATTGGTGGGGCTTTATGTGACTATGACTCTTGGTTACCCTTGCAAGTGCAAGTTGAAGTGAAACTCACCCTCTATGGCTTAACTTTCAGCCAAATAATAGACCCACAAAGTGACAACTCCAGGGCAGTACTCATTTCTTAGACTAATCAACCATATATATAAGGTCAAAAGAGCAGCATTTGCCCAAAGATAAAGCCCTGAGGACAGAATGGGGTAGGATAGAAGGATTAAAAGAATAGAACAATGATAATTATATAAAATATAATATATTTGAGTTATCATATAAAGAAGTACATTTACAAAACATGATGTATACAAGTGATTATATGCAAAGCAACAAAAAATGTAAAGGAAATAATAACTACCATAAGGAAATGGGAAAGTGTGACAACATTATGAGTATTGTAATTAAGCTTATAAATAAAATACGTATGAATGGTTCAATGAATAAACATATTGTTTAGTGAGCTGTCATTCAACATACAATTTTTAGAAAGAGCCTATATGGAGGGAAAATGGAAGTTACTTCTGTTCAACAAGAACTAGTTTATGTTAATAAACCACAAAAATCTAAAATATAGAATACTATGCAGATAATTATGGAGCTCTGGTAGCCTAGTGGCAAGAAGTTGTGCTACCATTCCAAAGGTATGCAGTTTGAGGCCACTAGTTGCTCTGAGGGAGAAGGATGAGCAATCTCCTCCCACATGATTAACTGTCTCTGAAAACCCTCCGGAGGGTCAGCTATGGGTTGGTTCTGACTCTAGGGTATACAGCAGCAACAACAACAACATGCAGATATTTAAATGTCATGTTGTTGTTGTTGTTGTTATGTGCCGTCGAGTCGCCTGCGACTCATAGCGACCCTGTGTA